CCCCACCCCGGTCTGTAAACGACCACCGACTTACTCTCCGTCTTACAGATTTGGCTCCTGGACGTTTCCTATAAACGGATCACGTAGCATGTGCTCTGAGCATAATGTTTTCGAGACTCATCCAGGTTGTAACACACAGCAGCAGCCTTTCGCTCTGTTCTGTGGCCGAATGACCCCCCGCTGTGCGTGTGCCGCATGTGGTCTGTCCACGCCTCAGCTGGCGGGCACCGGTTGGCTATCGGGGAAAATGCTGCTGATGGATACTTATGTACGCGTTCTTGTGTGGATATATGTTTTCAGTTCTTGTGAGTTCATACCCAGCAGCGGAATAGCTAGGTCACAGGGTAACTCTTAAGTTTAACTTTAAAAAAAAATTGATTCCAGAGAGGGAGAAAGAGAGAGTTGTAAGCGTACTTTATATATTCCGGATACACGTCCCTTGTCAGATTCGTGACTCGCAAATATTTTCTCTTGTTCTGTAGGTATTAACATTTTAAAATAAATTCTCAGAAAGCGCCTGTGTTCCACTTCATTGAGCTTTACTACAGTTTCACAGTATTATTTTGTTTTATATTACTTTTGCTATTTCTTGAAGACATTGTAAAAAGCCTGTACTTTTTGTTGCTGTTGTTAAGCCTCACCCAAGGATGTTTTTTCCATTGATTTTTTTTTTTTTTTTTTAGAGAGAGAATGGAATGGAGGGGGAGAGACAGAGAGAGAGAAACATGGATGTGAGAGAGACACAGAGATTGGTTGCCTCCCGCACGCACGCGCCCCAACTGGGGCCGGGGATCGAGCCTACAACCGAGGTACATGCCCTTGGCTGGAATCGAACCCGAGACCCTTTAGTCTGCAGGCCGATGCTCTAACCGCTGAGCCAAACCAGCCAGGGCATCTCTCTCCTCCCTCGCATGCGCCGGGTTCCTGGCTCTCCTGTGGCAGGGGGATGTGCCATTCTTGGACCACTTGCTTCCCTCTCCAGTCCCACCAACTTCTCTCAGTTGGGCTCAAGGTTTTGGTTTGCAGAAGAATATCCTCTGGCCAGTGAGGGGAGGGGAGGCTTTCTCCCACCTTCTCCACCAGGTGTGGCCTTGGGCTTGGGGGGCCCTGGGCGACCACACTGCAGTAGGCAGGCTCTCAGGATGGAAGACTAAGTGCCCGAGGGAGCGTCCCAACGTGGCTCTGTTCCGGCCCCATCCCTGCTTCCCCAGGACCACCTCTGGGTCTCATCTCCACCCCTGTCTGTCATTCAGGTGCATCCACTGCGGGGTTGTTCACCTGACGTTGGCCTTACTGAAAAGCCACATCCAGGAGAGACACTGCCAGGTTTTCCACAAATGTGCTTTCTGCCCCATGGCCTTCAAGACTGCCAGCAGCACCGCGGACCACAGCGCCACCCAGCACCCCACCCAGCCCCACAAGCCCTCCCAGTGAGTGCAACTTCAGGGGCAACCGGCCTGTGGGGCAGAGCCCAGTGGCCTGGGTGCTGTTGGGGGAGGTGTCAGGTTGAACCAGGAGCCGGGGCTAATGGCAGACATGTCTGGAGTCTCCCGAAGACACCCTGAGGCTGGGGAGTATCCGCCCTGGCTCAGAGTCCTTTTTCCTAAGCCCCATCCTGGTTGAGAGCAGAGCGGGCAGAGGGCTATGGGGTTCTCTCAGCAGAGCCGTGGCCACCTCATGCCCTGGGGCTTGTCCACAGGCTCATGTACAAGTGCTCCTGTGAGATGGTCTTCAACAAGAAGAGGCACATTCAGCAGCATTTTTACCAGAATGCCAGCAAGGCACAGGTGGGCGTCTTCAAGTGCCCCGAGTGCCCGCTCTTGTTCCTGCAGAAGCCGGAGCTGATGCAACACGTCAAGGTAAGTGGCCCCAGGGGAGGCGGCCGTGAGCAGGGCGAGTGCTTCAGGCCGGGGGCTTTGACTCTGTGCCTCTCTCCCCCTGCCCAGTCACTAATTGCTCTCCCACCCTCAGAGCAAGCACGGTGTCCCCCGAAACGTGGATGAGCTGTCGAGCCTCCAGTCTTCAGTGGACACGTCCACAAGCCGCCCTGGTTCTCGAGTTTCCACTGAACCCCCTGCTACTAGCGTGGCTGCTCGGGGCAGCTCCCTGTCATCTGGCCGCTGGGGCAGGTCCGAGGCCCATCGCAGGGCTGAGGGCAAGCCCCGGCTGAGGAGCACTGGCTGGACCTGCCAGGAGTGCCAGGAGTGGGTTCCTGATCGGGAGAGCTATGTGTCCCACATGAAAAAGAGCCACGGTCGGGTAAGTGCAGTCCCAGGGTCGCAGTGCTGCAGATTTTGAGGTCTGTGAGGAAAAAGGTGCACCCAGGGCTGTCCTACAGCCTGACGCTTTGCTTTCTGTGGCCACTTGCAGACGCTGAAGCGGTACCCATGTCGGCAGTGTGAGCAGTCCTTCCACACCCCCAGCAGCCTGCGCAAACACATCCGCAACAACCACGACACTGTCAAGAAAGTCTACACGTGCGGGTGAGTCTGGAGAGGGAGCCAGGAGGCCCGAAACCCAAAAAGACTCTGCCTGCGGCACCTCAGGGCTTTTTTCTGCCCTGAGGTCAGGGGTCAAAGGCAAGACTAAGCATGTTTCCAAATGGAAAAATGCTGTGGCCAGGTCAGAAATCAGGGCAGGGTAGGAGCCAGCGTCCAGAACCTGGGCTTCTGAGGCTTCCCCTTCCCGCCTCCCTCACCCCGGGCTGCACTGCCAGGCAGTGGTGAAGGGCCCTGTGTTTATGGGGAGTGGCGGCCTGTCCTTTTACACGATTTCCTCGGCCGTCCTTTTGCAGGTATTGCACAGAGGACAGCCCCAGCTTTCCCCGGCCCTCCCTCCTGGAGAGCCACATTAGCCTTATGCATGGTATCAGAAACCCTGATTTGAGCCAGACGTCCAAAGTCAGACCTCCGGGTGGACATTCCCCTCAGGTGAGTGTGGGGCCCTTGCCCACCGGAGCTGTTTGCTCGGTGAGGCCTGGAGCTGGAGGGGCACCGGGAAGGCCACAGGGTGCCCGTTTCTCCTTGTGGCCAGTGCCACAGCAGCAGTGACAACTCCCCTCAAGGTGCGTCACCCTCGAGCCCTGTGTGACCACCTGGGGCTACACACAAGTAAAAGACAGGGACAAAGACCCGGGAGGCAGCCCACCGCCCTCTTGTTCCTGCTGTATCTTCAGGATGTCCATAGTGTACGTCACGTTAACAAAAGCAGTCAAAACCGCAGACAAAGCCACGCTAAGCCAGCGTTCAGGGCTGGGGTGACCCTAGCCTGGGCGGAGATCCTACAAGACCTTGGGCTACCCTGGTCACGTCTGGGGGCTCCTGCCTTGGGCTTGGCTTGGCTCGGCCTCGACTCAGCTCATGCTGTGTCCCCTTCAGGTGAACCATCTGAAGAGACGGGTCAGCGGGGCAGCGGATGCTCCAGGCACCGGGAACGGCGCGACCGTCTCCTCCGTCAAGAGGCACAAGTCCCTTTTCCAGTGCGCGAAATGCAGCTTTGCCACAGACTCAGGGCTCGAGTTCCAGAGCCACATACCTCAGCACCAGGCGGACAGCTCCACGGCCCAGTGTCTCCTCTGTGGCCTGTGCTACACCTCAGCCGGCTCCCTCAGCCGTCACCTTTTCATTGTGCACAAGGTGAGAGACCAGGAGGAGGAGGCGGCGGAGGCCGCGGGGCCGGACGGGGGCTCCGGGGAGGAGGTGTCCATGGAGACCAGGGAAAACGGACTGGAAGAATGTACCGGCGAGCCTTTGTCAGGCCACCCAGAGGCCAGGAGATCACCGGGCCCGGCCCCCCCGGAGGACAGTGCCCAGGACGCTCAGAGTCACCCACTGGCCTCTCAGGATCAGGACAGCCACGTACAGTCCCCTCGGGTGTGACCGGAGGCGTGGCCGTGCGTGTGGTCAGGTGCTGTGGCGCGCTGCACCTGCCGCGTGGACCGCGGAAAGTAAACGGCTCTGCCCGGTGGTGTGAGTGTGGCGGCCGTGCCCCGGAGCAGTGTCTGCCCTGAGCTGCGGGAGCTGGGCGTGCCCCAGACCCGGAGATGTGGGGTCGCCCAGGACCCTCGCAGATCTGAATTTACTTATTTATGGCTTTGTGCTGCTTCTCAGTACCCCAACTCCTGTCTGTATCCTTCCGGCCCCAGGCTGCTTCCGCGGCCCAGTCCCAGCGCCGCCCACTCTGCTTGAAACCCCTCAGCAGCTGTGCCCCGATGGGAGGCTCCCCACCTGCTGCCGGGGGGCTTCTCCGAGCTCTCTGGGTGCTCAGAGCCCGAGAAGGGGGAAAAGGGGGGCTGGTGCAGTCCCTCTTGGAGAGCTCTGCCTAGCCTAGCCTGGCCCGGGCCTTGGTCACCTTGCCCGGGCGTTGGTCACCTTGCCCTTCCTTCCTGTCTTCTCTGGTTCTTTCCCCCCAGAATAGTGCCAGAGGGTTATCGCACTGGGTCATCCTGTGTGGGCGGGAGAAACTCCTGCAGCACCTCTCCGTGGGGCCCAGGAAGCAGAGCGCGGCCCGGGTGGGCAGCTGGGCGCCAAGAGGCAGGCCCCTCAGAAGGAGGGCGCGCCCTTGCCCTGCGGCTGCCCTGCCTCTCCTGACGGGGGGCTTGGCGCACACAGACGTTGGGTATTTGTATTCTTGCTCCTGTGCCATTAGAGAGGCTGATGCCCAGGCAGGCCAGCCCCTCCAACTCTTGGCTACACTCATGTTGCTCAGACTATATTTCAAATAAAAGTATTCTTCTTACCACGCAGGTGGGCTCTTGTATTCCTCGTCCAGTGAGCCTGGCTCCACCCGAGGGTCCCTGAGCCGTCCCTCACTGTCCCGTTTCTAAAGGGGAGCAGTGTTCCCACGTCCAGGAAGGTCCTCTCGATTTTGGAGCTGTGGTTAGGAAACCGGGAACCTGGGACTTCTTGCTTCTTTAGGGACCTGCTGAAGGGGTGAGGGGAGGGCTTACTGCTAGTCAACAGTCACCTCCGAGGTCTCCCCTGGCATCAGCTTTTAGGGCCTATTGAAGTTTCCCGGGCACCTCCATCTCTCCTCCAGATGGAGTTTTGACCTGAGAGACCCCTTTGCCGGAGGGAGGAAATCTGCGATTTTCACGCAGTTTTCAAGAGGCCTGGTATTGCCACTGCCACGGAGAACTTAGCTGTGTTCAAGGCTGCGCTGTCTTTTCACTGATGGCAAAGTTTCGCTGACCCAGCACAAGGAGCAGGCGGTGTGAGGGGGGTCCTCTGACCTCTGACCCATGGGACCCACCTGGGGGGATCTAGTGCACCCAAGTGCAGCGAGTGCTGTCCGAGTTCTTAGAGATGGTCTTTTCTAGGGAGGCCTTGACTCTCGATGATAATTAAGCCAGATAAACACGCTTGACCTTTTCACAGTTGAAAACAAAAATGGTTTTCTTCATCAAATGCCACCTTTTTAGTGGAAATGCTAACAGAGCCTGGAAAGGTTGGTGCCTGCCTCCGTTTCAGAGACTCCCCCACCATGCCCGCTTCCCAAGGCGGCGGTGAGCGCAGGCCGGGCCTGATTCCTGACTCCTGCCACTCACAACCAGAGCCAGCGCCAGCTCCGACGGCACCCCTTTCCTAATTCCACCTGCAGGGCACCCACCCTGCACCCCAGTTCCATTCACAGGAAATCATAGAGGGGGCAGATAGGTTTGGAATGGACGGCTGAGTCTCCGCCTGTCCAGAGTAGCGGTAACTGGAGGGGGACAGGGGGGCAGGGGAAATACCAGGTCTGACCACCCGTCCTGACTCAGCCAGGTCCATCTCTCCTTCCTGGGAATGGTGTGTGGAGCGAAGGGTCACAGGCTGGAGTCTGCCCTTTACCAGCTCCTGACAGAGCCCCTAACTTCACTGGCCCCACCCCTTCCAAACAGAGGTGGTCATTCCCACTCACCTCGCGCTTCTCTGGCTTCTGTGAGGCGGTGAGCGTGGAAGCATTTTATTTTTTTTCAGTCCTCACCTGAGGATTTTCCCCACTGCTTTTCAGAGAGAGTGGAAGGTTGGGAGAGAGAAACAGACTGGTTGCCTCCTGCTCCCACCCCAACCGGGGCCAGGGAGTGAGCCTGCAACCGAGGGACGTGCCCTTGGCCGGAATCGAACCCGACACCCTTCTGTCCGTGGGCCAGCGCTCTGACCGCTGAGCACACCAGCCAGGGCAAAGCGAGGGATTCTTATTGTGACTTCAGGGCACCTCGCCTGCCGTTCACACGTGGATGCCAGTGATCCGTCAGGACCATCGGGGACACCTCTCCATTGCTATTCAGCAATCCCGAGCACAACAGCACTTTAAGCCCTGCTCCTGTGCCCAGCTTGCCGCTCAGTACTTTCTAGTGATTCCTCACCATGATGTCAACAGTCATCCTTGGTTTTACAGAGGAGAAAGCTGAGGCCCAGAGAGGTTAAGAAACCTGCTGGGCCACCTGTACTCGAGGGTGCTGAGTCAAGCTTGTCTGGTTCTAAAGTCCACGGTGTCAGCCCCCGTGCCTTAGTGACCCAGCTGCTTTGGCCGGCGGCCAGCTTGTCGGGTTTGCAGCCGTCCAGACATCCGCGTTCCTACCTCCCCTGAGGCCGGACTGCCAGGTTCTCTTTGGCATCGGCCCGTGCCTTGTCACCCCAAGGAGGGCCCTGCACACCACATCTGCTTGCGGCCAAAGCAAATGTCTCTCTGACCTTTGATTCTCAAGGGGACTTAACGAAGGCCATCCTTTTTTGGGGCGGGAGGGGATGGCATCCCAGAAAAGGGTGCCTAGCCCTCACAGGGAACATGGTTCCCTCAGGGTCCAATATCTTCTGATCTTTTCCTCTTTAAGGTGTTTTTAATGGCCGCACTATCATTTTTATCAGAAAACTCTTGCTGTAAGAAGCACTTATCCGCACATTAGCTGGAGGGCTCTCCTGATCCAGTTAAACAGATAAAATCCCCACCCTCATAGAAACTACAGTTTCATACATGTCCAGGCTCGACGAATGACTAGTATTTATTTTACAACCGCTTTATCTCTGTAAAATGATACGCTGAGTGACTGTAAGCTCTTGGAGTGTGTAGAAAGAACTGTTCCCTTAACTTATATAAACAGTCCGGGTTCTGAAAACTGAACACTTGTGGCTCAGCAAAGTTCAACACACGTTGCCTCCCCCGACCCCGAGGACCCTACCCACACCCCCGCCTGCCCTTCCTCCGCTGCACAGTCAGCACAGAGCACACCTTATTTTACCTGTTCTAAAATTTTTTGTGTGTTTTGAAAAATTAATACATATACATGGTAAGACATTCAAACAAAGGGAGTATGCAATGGAAAAAAGTAAGCTTCCTGAGGAAGGTCAGCCTTCAGTGCCCCAGCCCCTCTCCGGAGTTAATCGCTGTCGTCTGTATCTTGTGTATCCTTTCTGAGCAATTCTATGAATCTACACGTTTGTAAATATGTATTTTTACATATCTATTTTTAACACAAATGGTAGCATTCTTACACGAAGTGTTCTGAGGCTTGCTTTTTTCACAGATTGTCCCAAACTCATCCACTGGGTCAGTCTAATTCTTTAAAAGTTCTTAGCACAGTTCCTTGCAGTAGTGGTTCAAAGAGTGTTTGAGTAAGTGAATGCATGAGTGGAAAAATCAGATTTTTCTGACGGTCTGATCTGAGCAAGACAGATCTTCTAGGTTCTAGAACATGCCCCCCACCCCAGCTCCATCTCTGAGGGATTCAGGTCATTGTTGACCCTTTCTGCCATCTGACAGCAGCCTTAGGAACTGGGAGCACGGGTCCCAGGTCCCCAAGTATGGGGTTTCTTTGAGGTCCTTATTAAAAATTACTTCTTCCTTTTGGGAATGATATAGAATTATTAGAGAAAATTAAAAACAAAACAAAAACACTTGCATATCTATAGTCCCATGTTACCTTTGCAATGTTTTCATTTTTGAATATCACTTGTCAATCCTTGTTCAGTTCATAGCCGTAACTGTAACAACAGTTAACGTTGAACGTTCCTGTGTGACAAACACTCTTACGTGCATTCTCTTATTTAGCGTCCTAACAATCCTATGAGACAGATACTACTATTATTACTTTGGAGGTTCAGAGTGGTTGAGTAATTTCCCGAAAGCCACACAGCGAGAAAGGGGCAGAGCTGGGATTCACTCAGGTGTGAATGAATTCCACTCACTGCACTGCCCCGGATTTTGTGCTCTGCTTTTTTTTTTCCTACCTGACATTATGTCTGGGACATTTTCATGTTTCTCCATCATCATTTTCAATACCTGTAATCATTGTCAAATCAACGTAATTCACTTACCCATTTCCAGTTGACATGGAAACGTCCAACTTCATCACTGCAAGGAATAGTGCTGAGCATATATAGCCTTTTACTTCTGAAGAAGTATTCCTCAGTATTTATACCTATTTCTCTTGACTAAACTCACTGGTGGTGTGATAGAATGATGAAATCAGAAGCTACGTTCCAGTCTGGGCTCTGTAACTAAGTCATTTGATCTGACTTGGCCTCAGTTCCTGCATCTGTCAAATGGGGGCACTTAACAGCACTTCTTTCACAGGACTGCTGTGAAGATTAAGGAAAATAACACAAGTTGAGTTCTTAGGACGGTGTGAGTGCGGCCTATTTAAATCACCTACAAA